TTGGATTTGCTACTGCTTGCGTCATTGCCTTACGTTCTCGACTGTGATTGATCGATTTTCTTATGCTTACGTTTTACGTCCTTACGGAATTTTATGTGTGAAGGCCTTTACAGTCGAGAACGTAAGGCAATGACGCAAGCAGTAGCAAATCCAACCTGTTGATTTTCTTACGCTTACGTTTTACGTCCTTGCGGAATTTTATGTGTGAAGGCCTTAACCAGTATGCCCACTCGCTCTTTTGTTTCACGTTCGCGCCGATCCGTACTGCGCATCCGACATGTTTTTATTATAACCAATCACAGGATTTTTGTACGTGTGTTAGTGCAAAGTCGGTGTGACATAGAAAAATTCGCAGTGTTGACGAATAACGCGTAAATACTTTTATACGTTGGAGCAAGTAATTACATTAATTACTTTTATTAGAACATTTTCTTTCATCGGGAATTGTGACATTTGCTTGATGTAAAATTTTTTTCAATAAATTGCATTTTGCTTCTTCTATTCTTATAATATTAGTCTTACGACGGGATCGTATACGGTTACAATCTTCCTGCCCAAACCCTTATTAACGTCAGAGACGCGTCAGTAAGACGTTATTAATACATCACTTAACGTCATTATGTTTGCCGAGTTGGTGCAGATGTTAACAGATGTCTGTTTCGCATAACGTCATCGAATCTGGATAATGCCGTTATCGATACTAAATCAAGTCGAAGTCTAAACGCGCGCCCATCCGTTTCAATGCCAGGATAGTGTTAACGGCCTTAACCCAGCGCTTCTTAATGACATAGCGTTTCAATCGGTGCTTCTGTATCGGGTTCTCCAGAGCGGCTTCCAGCCAACGGTGCTCTATAAGCTTTCCCGCAGACGGTCTTTTCCTACAGCAAGAAGACTAATGAGTGCCTTAATCTATTTGCCATTTTGTGGGAGACGCGAAGCAAGTGGAAACTTTCCTGTAGAGTGCTGTGATTTATATTAGATATAAAATATGAACAGTGACTATTCAACAAGAAACATACGTGAATGTATACGTTATTTCATTCAGCTCCCTTGCAAAGTTCGTGCAACATACTGAGTAAAAAATCTTAAGCTATCACGTTTCTCGTAATTGATATTGTTACAAAACATGAAAATACATTTGAATAATGCTATTAATAAATAACAGTGTATTAAAAATATAGAAGCTTCCTTCTGGAACGCTTGAAAATTATTGCTTGCAGGGAAAGAATATTTAAAGTCGGACCGACAAATTATGTCGTCCTTTTCGTTCAAGGTATCACGATAGATTCATTAGTTTGCAAGCAATCAAATCGAATCAAAACTGTAGGCGTCTTGGTAAAGATTAATGTTGATTGACGCATTTAAAAATATTGATTTGAGGGTGAACCGATGGTACACAGCTATCGAGAATTTTGCTTATTGTTAGAGTACAGATAAAAGGTACGTAACCGTGGACTTTATTAGCAACGTGTAAGCTTTTTGTCGCTTGCAGAATCTTCGTTTACGTAAAGCCATTCTATTATTCAAATCTAACTTTCCGTATACAAATATCCATCAGCTTGTGTCTGTTTCAAATTTAATAACAGAAAACTCTAAAGTCTTGCACTTTCGTGACGTTTTACGTATGCACATATTATTTTGTGAAATGTCACGAAATTACAAGATCTCCGTCTTATTTCCGATTATAAAAACAAATCTGCAAAAACGGACGTGAATCCGGTACTCGGTCATCAAACTAAGATGTTCGGTGCAGACATTAAGACAACTAAAACTTAACTTTTTTATTATTTATCTCCTTAATTTATTAAAAAAATTCTCTCCTAATCTTTCCTTAAAAATTTAATTATTTAAATAAGAGATAAGAATGTGTGTGCACTTGTTTATCCTTCGTAACAATATTCCTAAGAAATAAATAAATTAAGGTGGATTGAAAGGGGCTGAATAATAAAATCATTTCCCGACTGTAAAAATCAAAGATTCACATTTTCGATCGTAGATCAATCTTTGTGATTCACCTACCAAGCATATTATTACCCTAGGCGCGTATCTCATCTTGAGAACCAAACCGCTCTCCGAAATAAAGTTCACGACCGGAAGAAAAGAGGGGGATCGTTAACTATGCATGTTCCTCATCCGTTCGCGACCACGAAGCATTCGCAAGCGCGGACGTGTCATTCAACGATATATCGACGTGGATGATGCGACGTTGGGAGACTTTTTCTGTTGCTTCGACTGGAAGTACTCCGCCAACGAGTTCATCGTCTTCCTAGCAATCGTGTCGGCCGTGCACCAATCCAGGCTAACGGACTTTCTGCCCGCGCCGACACCGCTGCCTCCGACGCCGCAGGGCGTCGTGGTGACCTCCTCCCACTCGCCCAGCAGATGCAACAGCAAGTCCTTGGCGCTGCCCGGCTCGTCCAGATTCAGATTCTTGTGCAAGTCCCGCAGGTTCGATATCCGTGGAACATCCCTGCTGGTCTCGCCGAAGGATCGTTTCACGCGCGACCGTCGCCACGGGGGTGTCAGGTCCATATCCTCCGCGGCGGCGGAAGTTCTCCTGCCGATCCTCTCCCCGTTAAACTTCTCCTCGATTGTCTCGGTGATCGCCGTTCGTTCGAAGGGATATTTCCGAGAATCCCTGCGTCTCTCGGACGTGTTGCCGTCACCGATGCTCGTTCTCCTCAGGGCCACCAACACGTTACCGAAATTCGTGTCGAGATTGTATCTATCGAAACTGCGGCTACTGTGAAAGGTCGTTCCGTTGAGCTTTCGCTGCCGAGTGATACTGGACAGCTTCTCCGTGATCTCGTTGGTTTCTTTATCGACGTGAGACGCGGCCACCTTGATATTGCTTTTCGAGTAGATATCACGTTTATTGCCGACCTCGCCAGGCCTCTTGGTGAACCGCTGCGTTTCCGTTGCGCCCCCGTTACTTCCCTCATTCGTCCGCGAGCCCATAGCGATCGAGCGCAAGTGCTCGGACAGCTTGATTATCTCCTCGGCCAAGGCGATCTGGCTGGCGGGATCGCGACGGTTTCGCGCAGCCGTACCCTCGGAAGCTCTCCTTTCCAAGGACAAGCTGAGACTCGGCACGGACAACAGGTGGCTAGGATTGTCCCTCGCGGCGGAGTCCGTCATCCTCTCCGATTGCGTGCTGCTGCTGCGAAGGCTGTCGCAGGGCGAGGGACTGTGGCCCCGCAGGGATACGGATTCGTCGCGATTGCGAAGCGGGTTCCTCGGCAACGCGTGATACGAATCGATCGTGTATGGGCTGTCCGGATGCTCCCGCCAGCGCTCGACGAACAGTCTGAGATTGTCCTTGGTCACGTCCAGCTCCTCTCTGCCGTTGTAGTCGACGACACCGAAGACAGGGCGATTCTCGATAAAGGCCGTCCGTTTGGCCGCCGCCAATCCCGCGACCTCCTTCTCGCTCTTGGGCTTGTTCATTTTTCGGGCCAGCCATCGGTGCTCCCGGCATTGCGCCGCAGTCATTCGCTTTCTGAAAGATTCGAAAGGCTCGTCGTGAGGAGGGTCGTGCTCTAGTGTGCCCCAGGCTCGATAGTGCGTTTCCCTTGTCACGTGGAGACACGCGTGATTCCGCGATCCGCGAGGCGGACAATTAGAACGAAAATGTATGGACGAAGAGTACAATGATGGCGTAGATTCGAGTATCGTACAAATGTGCGTAGATTGCGTGCGTTATGTGTATCTGAGTGCAAAATTCTCGATAAGAAACTGTCCAACGGGTGGAGCTTTAGATCCCGGTATCGTTCGTTAGACATTTGGACGCTCTCGAAAATCGTTTCTCGAATGCAACGAGAATAAAACAATAGTTGCTGTACAACATCGGAACATACATGTACATTGTGCTAGAGTTAATTACAAGGGGTGCTTGTGAGCCATACACACACCCTCACAACGAGTCAATGGGGATACTTTAAACAGCGTAACAGAAGGAACTTCTTCTCCGAGTGTAACAACAGATATAGGAAATGGTAAGACGGGAATACACGAAGAAGAGATGGAGAAACTGAAAAGAAGAACGGAGCAAGGAGAGAAAGAGAAAGTGAAACACAAAAGAGTAAGATACATATACAGCACCGGCCAAAGTTATATCACCTTTAGGTTTTCTCAACATAGTGTAACATAATAGCTTTCATCAAAAGAGCATCGAATGTGCTGAAAATTTTACAGTAGACACCTGACAACAGGTGCATTTGTACACGAAGGATAAAATTTCACCAAATATACTACGATTTTCCTATTTTTTTCATTCGTGCGCTTTAAAACTAGTTATGCTAAAAAAAAATCGAAAGGTGATATAATTTTGGTCGGTACTGTATACACGCAGCAGAAAGCTATACTTACTCCTTGTCTTTCACCAGAAGGCATCTTATAAAATCTTTCGCATCTTCCGAGATCTCGGCGAAGGCCTCGTGATCAAAGTCGTACTTTGCGATAGTGACATTCGCCATTGTCTCTATATCCGTGTCGCCCATGAACGGTGATAAGCCGGACAATCTAAAATAATTAATCGCATGAAAAATCTCGATCGTTATAAGGCGTGTTCTTCGTGTAACGCTCATGTAAATTGCAATACGCGGAATCGTAACTTACAGTACGTAACAAATAACACCAATACTCCATATGTCAGTACCGAATCCAATTTGATCAAAATTTACGACTTCCGGGGCAACGAACTCGGGCGTACCGAACAATACTTGCAGTTTCTTGCTCGGATCGTATTCTCGCGCCAGGCCGAAATCGATGATTTTGATTCTATTACCTTCTTTCGTCAGGCATAGTATATTCTCTGGCTACACAACAAACAAATACATATATTTCTGTACATTTAATCAATTTTACGTAATTACACAAATAATTAAATATAAAGAAAAGAAGATTACATAGATAATTATATTCTTTACAAATACGCAGAGCAGCTTTTATTGTTAGACATTCTTTGACAAATATATGATAAAACATGAAAACTTGGAAATAAATTTATAACAGACATGTGTTATAACATGCAGTCGGGTTGTCGCTTCGAACGTTTCAAAGTATTCGTCTTCTCCTTTCTTTCAGAAGAGATAGAAGGAGAAGAGAAACACTTCGAAGCGTTTGTAGCAGCGGCGTAACCGCAACCATAGTATATAATCATAAAAAAATAACAGAAAGATTTGCGGGGAAAGTGAACGTCGAATGTTCTGAAATAATTCATATCGATAATGTAACTCAACGTGACTCACTTTCAAGTCGAGATGCAAGACCTTTTGGCCATGCATGAATTCTAGTCCCTCGCATATCTGCCGCATGAAAACGGCGCAGCTGCGTTCCGTCAGTACGAAATCGTCGTCTATCACTCTCTCAAAGAGCTCGCCGCCGTCAATCCTTAAATGATAGAAATTTCAATGTAATCCGGCAACGCGCGCGCCTCTTTCTAATCTCACGCTCCCCCGCCCGCGAGAAAGAAAACGTACAATTCTAGAACGACATATATCTGCTTTCCCGCGTCAATGGCGTCGTACAGCTGTATCAATCGCGGATGCTGCAAGCGTCGCATGATGTCCACTTCTCTCTGCACGGCGCGTTTGTCCTCCTTCTTCGTGGCGTTCACCACTTTTGCGGCGAGCATCAAGCCGCTCGTTTTGTCCTTACATCGATAAACAATTCCAAATTTTCCCCTGAAACGAGTGGAAGAACCAAAAATTAATCGGAGGCGATTGGACATTATTAATTTTTATATTGTAAATACTACAATACGTACAGCCTAAACTTTAAATCTATTATATATAACGAGGCAAAAATTATTTGCATCTCATACACGAAATAGCTACGCACAAATTGAACTGATTACATTGTAAACATATTACATATAAAATTACAATTATAGTGTGTAATATTGGGATCATCTCTTAAAGGTGTACATATATTTACATACGTCAGTAAATTTACATCTTGTAGGTAAACTTATTACCTTATATAATAAGTAAACTGCTTGATTTTGTGTAAATTTTACAATTTTTTGTAATTTTGCATCATGCATAAACAAGTATTTACACAATAAAGAGTAAAAACAATGTTGTGCAAGTACGTAAATTTATGTATTTCCATGATTAATAGTGTAATCGTTACGTTTATTATGTATGTAATTTTACATACTTTTTTTACAGTGTAGAGTAACAAGCTTGGTATAAATCACGCTCCCTGCAATCCTTGAAACTGTTGAGTAATAACAAATTACGCGTAAAAAGTGATAAACACTGGAAGATCTGCCAAAGCTGTATATCCCCAGCACGTCCCTGGCGCAGCACGAGGCAGAATACAACATACTTGTCACGGGGCCAAATCAGTGAATCATTGAGTTCGTGTATCTAAGTCAACGGATGTCGGGCGCAATTATTGCACCTAATTAAACTTTATTATCGTACAGTAATTATAGTGCACTCGAGTTATTAATTTATTAATTAATCGTGTAACATGAAGAACCCCGGTGAAAAATTTTCTCAGAATTTTTATACGAATTGGTACACTTTCCAGAAATACTGAGAAAGTCCACTTCTTTTCATATTGTTAATATTTTTTACATGTGTGAATATTCTGAGATATAAATGTTTGAAATTATAGAATGAAAAATTTCAGAAATTTCTGAATATCTCAAAACTCATACATATGAAAAAATCTAGTAAAGATACAAACTTTCTCGGTACTTCTGAAAAGTGTTCCAATTTGTACAAAAAAATCTGAACAATTTTGTAGAAAATTATAAAATTATTGAAAAAAACATATAAAATTCTGAAATGTACATACAAATTATGAAAAATTCCGAGACAAATTTTCATCAGGGAAGCCTCAATACTCGAGAGGAGTTATCGGCTAAAGATCGCTCGCGTCACTCAAAGGAGACTTGAATCTGCATGTTACAAGATTTCCTACCAGAAGACTATTGTCTCGCTCTTGCTATTATTACTATGATTATTATTAAGCTCCTCCGTTTGACATTTAATTTCTCAGCGACGTCGATATCGCTAAGGTGGCAGGAAGCAATTTGGCGAGACTCGCGTGTCGAATTGAAGTGAATTGAAATATTTCGCGATTTATTTTAGCAATTCGCTCTCGCCTACGATCTCGAGATAGCGCGGGGCAAACGCGCGTTCATTGTCAAGTCGCATTCCGGCGAGTCGGCCGAGTTCATCACCGGTGTCAAGAGCACCGGCACGCCCAGGCTCGACGCCGGAACGCCGTTTGACGCGCGTACCGTTTCACTCGCGGCTCGAGAGAGAAACGGATATTTATTTATAGACGTATCGGCGGGTCCTTGATTGCCGACGCGAACCGAGAGCGCGCGTGTTCGCCTTATCAGCAAGACCATGCTGCATTCCGCAGTCGTGTCGTGCACCTGACAGCAACGGCACATTCCTGTAATTCTGTCACCACCGTGTGATCTCGTGGAAACGGGCCAACGAGCTCTAATATCGTTGCCGCGGAGATGATATCGAGTGCTCGATACCCCGAGTATCGAGTGAAGGCTGCACGACGAAGGCATTAATTTATATTTGTATTTGGACTTTAATCGGGAGTTAATCGTCGACGGATATTATCTTCATTCAGAACAGATGGAGTGAGGAGGAGCGTTAGCGTGTTTATCTGATTATCTCAAATGCTCCACTGTTTTCTATAATCTTCCAGAGGGTTCGATTTTTTTATTAGTTTTAATTCACCAATTTTTGGAGTTGGCTTCATGCGATCGTAGCACGTTCCTCTGACCTGGAGCTCGATTCTTGAATTTATTCGCAAGAGAAACGTATGCGAAAAATTTGCTCTTGATAGAAAAGTTGTAGGGTGATTGGCTATTTGCATGTCTTTTAGCCAGCAAACTTGCAGCTTTCTTGTAAGTGCAGGATTTCTTGTAAGTCCAGGTCAAAGGAACGTGCTACGATCGCACGAAGCAGACTCCAAAAGTTGGTAAATTAAAATTAATTGCAAAGGGAATGACGGTTCATGGGACAATAAACGAGCAAAAATACAGACGTTTAGTTTTAAAGCCTGGTTGCACCAACGTCGTAAAATTTTATCTCAGCTTAACTCACCCTTGATCTCTTTCTAGGGAAACAAAAAGAGACGAAGAATGAGTTGAGCTAAAGTTCAAGTTACGTTGGTGCAATCGGCTCTAGATCTATATTTCTGCTCGTTTACTGTCTCGTAAACCTTCCGCCTTGTATTAGAAATCACGAGCTTGACTTTATCATTATTTTAAAACTAATTAACTACGTTGACGTGATCCTTGTTCCCACGTGTCAACTTCCCGGAAATTCTCGCCGTGATCGCCGCGACGTCAGATTCCTGGTTGTAACGAGATTGATATCCGTCGATTGACGCGTGATCGGCGCATCGTTGGCACGACGCACCAGGCGTCCGCCGATCGACGGATTTAAATCACTCACCGTCCGAGCTCCGACTGGATGTCATAATCGTCCTTGAACTCGACACCTCGGCGTATCGTCACGTCTCTATAGGGGAAGCTGGGCTCGATCTCTGAAAACAGGCGCGCGATCGTGAGGACGGAATGCGAGGGTAAGTGGGCGTTTGGCATTCAATTTCATCCGAGAGCCGCGCGATATCTTGAAATTAAGAAACGTGTTCGAGAGAACCGCCCTCATTCTCTTTGAGAGTTTTGGCGCCAACTTTTCGCCAAGACCTCGCGAGACGCCGACAACTCGCTATGTATATTCTTGTTCTTTTAGCAAATTTTCTTGTTACATTTTAATAATTTATTTTTTAGTGTATTTCTAATGTTTCTCTATTCTTTTCCACCCTAAACCAGACTCTATCGATTCTCTCGTCCCTTGATGTCCATTTTCAAAGTCGCCCCTCCTTAAACAGAATCCAATCTTTATTTCTTCTTCCTTATATTATTTTTTTCACGTTTATTTATTTCGCGTCTCAAAAGGATCCTTCACCAGCTGTCTTCAATTTCATGCGAGACGAGTAAAAGCGATAAGTAAGAATGAAAGCTTTACTCAAGCTCGAGATGCCCAAATTCCGAAACGCTACAAACACGCGAAAATAGCTTCTATGTTTATTCAAGCCGCGGTACGAGATACGTCTCTCCGTATCGCTAAAATTGAATTGGCCGAGAAAGCATCAGTTTTAATACTCGGGGCAGGCACTCGGACATTAGAACGCAACAGCGGGGATCACGTCGGCGCCGCTCTCGAGCAAGAATAACCGCCTTCCGATCTCCCGAAAGTCGCGCCGTTCTACTGACAGGCGCGCACGTTTCGCGTTCGCCACGAACGCGTTTCCCGCGTCTCTGAACCGAAACGTACCCTCTTTCCCCTCCACCATTTCCCGTTCGGGATTATCCCGGCCCTTTATCCTCGTCTCTTACCTCCCACCGGATCCGACTCGTCCACGCGGATCATGTTCCTCGAGTGATTTCACGACGAATCTCTCGTCTTCACGGGGAAAGAGAACGGAAACGGTGGTATTTTCCGTCGCAATTTCTCTTTCCTCCCTCTGTACCCTGTTTTTCGCTCGCGAAGCTGGAGAGCGAGGAGGCCTCGCGCGGATTTCGCGGACTCGCGCGCGATCCCTCGATCGATCCGCCGCGAGCCACGGGCGATTATGAACTATCTCGCGGTGGCTGCTCCGTGTCGCGCAGGCCGAGATGGTGGTGTCTTCTTCTTCCCCGGCTCGGACAGATTTAGATTTTCGGCGGACGCCGCGAATTCTGCTGCTCGATCACGTGGCCTGTAAACCCCTTCTAGGTGGGGGCAAAATAGCTGGCATCGCTCTCTTTCTCTCTTCCTCATCCTCTCGCGCGCGTTCTCTCTCTCTCTCTCCCTCGTATCCGTTCTCCTCTCCGTCCGCTCCCTTCATACATTTTCACAGTGATTATACCAATCCCAGCTGGTGAGATGCTAAGCCCAGGAATACGTAATTGTCCATAAGCCGACATCAAAATTATCGTGCGTCGCACCTGAAAAGGGGGGAAAAACGCCACGCATATAACTCGGAGAGGTCAATCCCTGAAACTCGAAGTAGTAAAATTCTGCCTGACCTGTTTACAGCGTGCCTGAAATAAGTCGCCGAACCACCGTTAATCGCTACAATAATATTACACACTTGTGTGTGGCGTCTTCTTATATAAATATCATCCTTTTTTCGGAGGAAAATATTAATATATTATATTAAAGTGTTAAAATGTATGTGTATTGTATATTAAAAAGATACTTACAATATCTCCTTAGATAATATGGAAGAAACACATTAAAATTTTAATAGCCTTCATCTGCCCATTCAAGAATATGTCCATATCTCTCAGGATTAAAGAATACAGGAAGCTACAATTATCACAGACTCGCATGATTAAAAATTCTAAATATAAAAAATATAAATATAATTTATACGCACAGTAAGGCTATCGATTTAAGTTTTAAAAAAAAATGTAATGTGTTATTAAAATACTTAAAATAAACCGTATTCTTCTCAATCATTCATTACATGTCACATCAATCCAATTCACCATAACGTCTCATCTTTTAATAGCCCGACATTTCAATTATGAAATATCTATGGGATACAATAAGAAGAACAAGGCTCTCTCTTATTTTCTCTCTTAACGAATACACAATTGCGAGAGTGCTCTGTTAAAGAATTACGACATGGGAGGAAACACAAAAATCGACACGTCCTCGCAGATTTTACTTTAGGCAATAGTATCATAAAAAGATCCCTGTTGAAAATATTAAATAGAATATGATCAGAGTACATGCAATTTCACCGTAAATAAATAAGTCTTATTAATTTACATTGAAATTGCACGTGATCTAATGCAATCTGATCATTCCAGTGAGAACACCAACGTCGAGACTGCGGCGTCCCAACCGTCAGTTTTCGAAAATAATTAAAAGTCTTGCAACTTCATTTTTTGTAGTAAATAAGTTCACTTGACAGTTCCTCTCGAATAAAATGTTAATTGTAGAACGTTGAACGTAGTAATTTAATGCAAAGAATAAAGTTCTAAAATTTAAAAAACTGACGATTGGAATGTGGTTTTGACCCCATTGACGTCGATTCGACCTTAGTGTTCTCACTGGGACGTTCCATCTGTTATTTTAAACAAAGATATGCACTTTATGAGAACCTCCGCCTGAGACTCCCGCAATCTGATTGAGCCATAACTGTGCAAACTCCAGGAAAAAAGTGCTTTTACAAAGCATCGTTGGGGCATAGGGCACGTGCTCGGCCCAATTGCAAAGTCGTGATCTTCGGCGACCTGAATTCCAGCAGGCGCACGTAGCACTCCGTTTAGTTTAAACGCGAATACATTGTGCCGATTTATTGCAGCGTATATCCGAGAAGAGCGGACGTGACGTTTTCCGTTAACGACTTCGGGGAAAGATCCAACTCTGTCATTTCGATCGAACAGAAGTGGTCGAAATGTCCTCTCGGGCACGCTCTGAAACGATTTCAACTGGACACATTAATTAATCGTGAATTATTTGCACCAGATCACATATACATACATAAGTTGATGTATTAACATACAAGTTATATACATATGTATATGTATATCTAACATATAAGTTGTAAGAAAATGTTATATTTTGTGAAAAATATAATAATCGATTTTCCGTATCGTTGAAAGATTAGTCTTTCGTAACTGAACTATAGTATACTTTTTGTACTTAAGAAAGAATAGAGGTGATTTAACATTAAAAAGAACTACAGAAGAATAAAAAATTAAAAAACTTCTGCTGCAAAAAGACTGGGCCTTTTTGGGGGCAGTCGACTTTTTATTTAAAAAAAACGAACGGAAATTAAAACTATCACTTCCTGGTTTCGTCTTAATGCGTACTTTAATCGTGTGGAAAAATTTTGCAATTTTATAAAGCCAATTTCAAATTTCATTAGAATTACGAATGGAAACTTTCAAATACCAATACCTATCCTTTTTATTAAACTTCCGAACTGAGTGTTTTAAGTATGAAAAATAGCTCCGCTATGCGGTCCGCAACTTATCCTGGTATTATTTTGCGCATAAAAGCCAATAAAAAGAATTACAAGCGCAAAAACTATATTTGACTCTCGGCAAAAAAAAGATGACTGAAGGATCCTCTTACGACGTTTGGTGAAACAGGGAGTAATTATTGTTGTAGGCTTATGTCGATTCAGTACCAAGTGAAAGATTAATATTTACTGGCGATACCGAATGTACATACGTGGAGATAAACATCGCTGGAGGGACATACATCATCATATTTACCAATATTTGCGCCACTGTTGTCTGGAAAACCGACGTCGCAAACTCGTAAATTCCACGAAGGATGAAATGAGAGAAGACAATGGCCGCGTTCAGCAAACGCAACTGTTGAGTGAGCGCTCAGTATGATTGGTTAATACTTTTAGATCCAGCCAATCATATTAAGAAATCACTGAGCGCTTAGGCTGGATTTACATGGAGCGTAACTTGCGTAGCGTAACCTGCGTATCACCAATCACAGGGTCATTCTGATAGAACCGTTTCAATAATTCCGTTGAAATAGTTCCGTGATTGGTGATACGCAGGTTACGCTTAAGGCCAATGTCCACGTTGCTAGAACTTGGTCCAAGTTCTAGCATCGTGGACATTGGGCTTTACGCAATTAAGTTACGCTCCATGTGAATCCAGCCTAACTCAACAGTTGTGTCTGCTGAACGCAACCAATGGCCACGTTCAGCAAGCACAACTGTTGAGTGAGCGCTCAATGATTTCTTAATATGATTGGCTGGATCTAAAAGTATTAACCAATCATACTGAGCGCTCACTCAACAATTGTGTCTGCTGAACGCGGCCAATCGCGCCGCGCCTCCTGTCCGTCGCGTCGGGGGCCGGGGGCGCCGGGGCTGCCAACGCGGACATGCGCAGACGAACTGTGGTCATACCGTGTGCAGACGGCGCGGGATGCCGCATGGGGTTTCAATGGATCTCCTAACCTCGTCATCGTAGCGATTTTACTAAATACGGAATAAGAGTTCATTCTGTTTCGTGCACCGGAGGACAGAATACATTAAAGACGCCTGAGTATTCTCAAACCTAACTGGAGATCTCACACTAAAGAGACGTGATTTTGTCGGCACTAATCAAGACTGGATTGTAAGTGATTTAATCAGCTCAGATGGAACAGAAAAGCAACATCCAAAATGAAGCAAGCAAGAAGAAGCATAAATGTAGTTACCCTGACTGCCATGCCGTGTTTTTACGACCTTCCAGATTGGAGAGGCACATAAGATTACATACTGGAGAGGTAATAATCGTCGCAGTGTGAAAGTAATTCTGTTGTGTGATTTTTCAGTGTTTAACGACTAATGATTTTATGCAATAGAGACCGTACAAATGTAGCCATCCAGAGTGTACAAAGTCATACACGAATTCATCTCATTTAAAGAGGCACTTGGAAACGCACAATCGCACCAAGAAAGTATACAAGTGCGTATACGCCGGTATACATTTTAATTGGACCTGTAGACTATACATTTAATGTATCACTGTGTTAATTTCAGGTGTACGAAGTGTCTAGTATCAATCGGCCAGTTTCACAATCTGAAACGTCATTACAAGCGGATGCACGGCGAGGAGAATAGGCTCGTATGTGAGGAGTGCGACAAGACTTTCAACAAGAGGTGTCAGTTTGCCGACCATCGAGCTGCGCACTCAGCCACGCCCACGATCTACAAGTGTGATAAGTGTAGCAGAAGTTATCAGAATTACAGTAGGTTTAAGCGGCATCGACAGAGTCACAAGAGTTACCCTTGTCCGAATGGATGCTCGGAGATATTCGATACGTTGCTGCTTCTGCACGCGCACATAAAAACAAAACATGTAACACGTAGGTATCAAGCCCAATCTACAATGTGCTTCCTGCATCTAGAAACATTCTATTTTGTGTAAAGAAATCAAAACACTTTACAAACTTGCCGACAATTTGCGATTGTACAATGTATAGTGCACAGTTCATCAACTTGCCCAAATTTTGTAAATGTATCTATTGGCCAGGAAATAGAATGTTTCCAGATGCAAAGGACACGTTGTAGATTAGCCTGTAGAAACAAGTGTAACATAGGAATGGAACCTGAGCAGAGCAAACTTTTATTTCAGATTACAAATGCGACACTTGCGACAAAGTATTTCTTAATAAATCCAGAATAAGGGAACACTGCAAGATACACCTTGAGAAGAGATTGGTTCTGCCGTGCCCGTACGACGACTGCCTTAGAGTTTACTTCTTCAAATCTAACTTGGACGAGCACGTGAGGATTATGCATCACGGAAAGAGATTTTATTGCAACCTGTGCTCCATGGGGCTTACGTCGAAGCAAAGGTTGCTAGAGCATATTCAGCGTCATTATAAAGTCAAGGAGGAAAGCAAAGTCAAGGCACCACGGAAAAAGCGGAAGGATATTGGTGTACCAAAGAAAAGCGTGATAACTGCCTTAATTGGCGTGGATATGCCATATGATTTGGAAAAGATGATACTGAACCGAGAAACCACGATGAACAATACAGCAAAAGACTTGGAAATCTTGATAAATTGACAATATAGATGTATCTCTAGATTCATTTTGTGATATAATTAAGTTGATTGTAACATTTTTATAGTTGAACGTAAGCTAAAGTGGTGTTTAGCTCTAAGACTGCTAACAGATACAACTATTAAAACGCAAATTCGTTATGAGAAGAGAATTCTTCAAGAATGCAGACATTTTTATTAGTTTCCCAAATAATTTTGCGCGTCAGATTTGAAACGAGGAAAGCCGAAGAGATATCCTATTGGATTTGGCTTTAAGCCTCCGCTACAATGATTCTCGGTTCTGTTTACAATGGTCGTAGTCGTAGTCGCTCGATAAGAATTGACCAATCGCAGTCGATTATTCTTACGACTACGACCATTGTAGACAGAACCGAGAATCATTGTAGCGGAGGCTTTAATCGACTGCGATTGGTCAATTCCGTCAGATACATAAGAATTGATCAATCACAGTCGACTATTCTTACGACTACGACTTTACGACTTCTATGTAAACGAGGCTTTACGATAAAGTCATGCGCTCAATCCACTCGATCGTCTTCCGAGCTTGCGGAACATAATCTATGGTTTTTCCTTTCGGTATAATATCTGGCGATTCTTTAGTTAATAATTTAAATGGCCACGTTGTGTTTACGCATTTGTTGTATAAAATAATTTCGTAAGTTTCTCCCAAACTTTCGAAAGCCGTTAGCACGTCGCCCAGACGTACGCACGATACGGAAGTGAAAAATATGCGAATCGACGTGTACATATGTCACCGGCCGGTAATTTTGTGTACGTGGTCACTTATTGGATTCTACCCGGCATTATTTATGTGCGAATGTACGTGCGTTGTTAAAGGCGCGTCAGATTCTCTAAGATTAAGGCGTCCGCACACATTCCGGAACCGAGACGTTCGTCGCTTACATTCGCTGGGTGTTTTCCTCTGATAGTGCGATTATAACCTCGAGTAGTAACGGGCATGTGCCCAGGCCGCATGCGAGTTGAATATACGAAACTCTGTTAGCGTCCCTTAAACACTAGTCCATTCGATAAAAGTGCTGTAACGCTGTATCTCTGTAAGCTATGTAGAACTGTAGAATATGAGAGAAAGAGCAAAGAGGAGAAAAAAGCTACAGAGCTTATAGAGCAAAAGTTTTCTTGCAGGATATATTTTTCAGCCTATATTTTCCAACATTTTCAGTCTGTAAGCTCCGTAGCTCTCTAGTTTTTCGCCTCTTTGCTCTTCACTCTTTGGCTGATGGCAGAGAACAATCCGTAAACCCTTGCAAGGCAGAGAAAATTGTATACAATAGCCTTTCACGACTTTCTTCTTTGCCTTGTCTTACGACTGCGAAGACGGTCTTAAGCGTTTACGGATCGTTCTCTGCCGTCAGCCTTTAGGCCCGACCAGAAAGATTGTCATGACCATTCATCGCATCGCAAGGTGACATTCGTCTATGACAATTGTTTGTGCGTTGACTTCCGACATCGATTTGCGTCTTATTACGGAATCGTAAACACAACAATCTTTCTACTCAGACTCTCTGTTGCTCTACAGTGTTAAATAACTCATAGCGATACAGCTTTACAGAGCATTTTTACAGAATGCATCCCCTAGTCTACTTGTTTACACTTTACGTTACGCAAAACATCTCGCAATAAGTCTATGTGGGAAAAAGTCTGTTTAAAGTTTGGATTTTTGTTTGCAGATTGATGCTGTAACAGATTCGAGATTTGCTTGATTTAAAATTACTGTACGTTCCTCTGCATCGACATGGTGACGTTGTTAAAGACGAGGGGTCTGCGCATGACTGCGCAGAAGCAAGAGACACTTTTGAAGCTAACTGTGCTTTCTTTAGCAGCAATTTTATGTAGGTTCATTTATTACCTTTGTACTGTGACTCGTTAGGTAACGAAATGTCGATTAGCTACATTCGGTCATTCGCACCGTTACAATTTTCTTTTCCAGCGTTTGCAACGCGCTTGTTCTCAGTGCTAAGATTCGAAAGTGTCATTCACGAATTTGACCCGTACTTCAATTATCGCACCACGAAGTATTTAGCTGAAAATGGGTTCTACAGTTTCCACAATTGGTTCGACGATCGCGTTTGGTATCCACTTGGAAGGATAATAGGAGGTATTGCGATACGTCAGCTAATTTTGACGCGGGTTTTCGGAAGAGAAAGAGAAATTCGATATTTTAAGAATGGATGTTGCAGGTACCATATACCCTGGTTTGATGATAACTTCAGCAGCGTTGTACCGTATCTCGTGGCTACTTAACATCACGCTGGATATACGTAACATTTGTGTCTTCCTCGCTCCACTGTTTTCAAGTTTAACAACAATTATTACCTATCTGCTTACCAAAGAGTTAAAGGTACCGTTTGTATTTTGTATTACTGGTAGCGTTGTCTTTGACACGGATGCAGCGGCGTTCTACCATGTTTATTTCATTTTTTTTTCTAGGATTCCGCATCAGGTTTATTCGCAGCCGCAATGATTGCAATTGTACCTGGTTATATATCTCGGTCGGTTGCAGGTTCTTACGACAATGAAGGCATAGCAATCTTTTGTATGCTATTCACGTACTACATGTGGATCAAAGCCGTGAAAACAGGAGCGATATGTTGGGCCACGTGCGCCGCACTGGCCTATTTCTACATGGTGTCTTCGTGGGGCGGATACGTCTTTCTGATTAATTTGATTCCGTTGCATGTGCTGACGTTGATGGTGACCGGCAGATTTTCTCACAGGATATACATCGCGTACAGTATTCTGTATTGTTTGGGAACCATTTTGTCTATGCAGATCTCATTCGTTGGTTTTCAACCGGTTCAGAGCTCCGAGCACATGCTCGTAAGTTGCGAGAATACTTTTAAGAAATTAGATGTCAGCATTCAACGTGAAATTTTATGCACAGCTTTATTCACTTTATTCGTTTCTCACAGGCACTAGGCGTTTTCGGCCTTTGCCAAATACACGCATTAGTAGATTATTTGCGGAGTAAACTGTCCCAGAAAGAGTTTGAGGTATTATTCCGTGCTCTGCTTGCTGTAGTGGTTACAGCGTCGTGCCTAGTTGGTGGTATTTTAACCATCACAGGTACTGATCATGTATATTTTTTAATACATTACATAGTATTTGTCAAATGTATTATTTTACTCGTGATTATTCTCTTGTGTGCATTACTTCATTTTTTTTCAAGGAAAAATTTCACCATGGACTGGACGCTTTTACTCCTTGCTCGATCCATCTTATGCAAAAAATCATATTCCTATAATTGCTTCGGTTTCGGAACATCAGCCAACGTCATGGAGTTCCTTCTACTTTGATCTGCAAATACTTGTATTTTTGTTCCCATCAGGCTTGTACTTCTGTTTCTCTAGGTTAACAGACTCGAACATTTTCTTAATTTTGTATGGAGTTACCAGTTTATACTTTGCAGTAAGTAAAAGTATATAAGATTAATTGCAATTTTGTATACACTTTTACACGTTTACTTTCCTGTGTTTTATATATATTGTGTTTGAATAGCATCTATTCAATATTTTAGGGAGTGATGGTACGTTTGATGCTAGTACTTGCTCCAGTAATGTGCATTTTGGGTGGAATTGGAGCATCTTCTCTATTGGTTACTTATATGAAACAAGTTGAAAGTGGAAAAGTTGTCGATAAGAAAGCCAAGAAATTCGAAAATAATTATATCTTGAGGAGCGAGGTAAGTTGGAGGAGCTTCTGATATTTCAAGAAAAAGAGACATGCCTAACAATACGATACGGCATTTGGGCATAGAAAAAGTAATGTTAAATTAAGAACATATATAAAAATCTTTTCAGATCGCCACACTTTTCATCGTAGTAATGTCCATACTCTTCCTGTCTTATACCTTTCACTGCACGTGGGTTACAGCAGAAGCTTATAGCTCGCCTAGTATTGTATTGTCTGCACGGTCCCCTGACGGTGGACGGATGATTTTTGACGATTTTAGAGAAGCATACTACTGGTTACGTATGAATACACCTGAGGTAAGCGTTATTAGTTACTTTTTGGTATTATTTCAAATGCAAATGATTAAATGTCTGAATTAGAATTCACAATTCAAGTATTCGTTTAAAAATACAGTGTATAAATAGATAATATATGGTACAACATGAAAAATTATTGTAACTTGAAATATTTGAGGAAACATTAAGACAAATCATTCCATCTTCTTTTCAGAATGCTAAAATAATGTCTTGGTGGGATTATGGGTATCAGATAACTGCGATGGCAAATCGTACTATTTTAGTAGACAATAATACATGGAATAATACGCACATATCAAGAGTCGGCCAGGC